CCAAAAAGTTGGGAGCAAGAAATTGTCCAAAATGTCTTAGTATGCTGAATTCCCTTCACTGGAACTAAGGGGCCAAGACCAACCCCTGAAAAACAACCTCACATTGTAATGTGGGCAGCACAGTGGCTGTGGGCAGCACGGTGGCTAAATGGTTAGCACTTCTGCCTGGCAGTACTAGGGTCGTTGGTTCGAAAGCCAACCACGGCACCACCTGTCTGGAGTTTGCATGTTATCCCTGTGCCTGCGTGGGTTTCCTCTGGGTACTCCGGTTTCCTCCCACACTCCAAAGACATGCTGGTAGGTAATTGGATCCTGTCTACATTGGCCCTAGTATATGTATGTGTGAATGCAAGTTAGGGACCTTAGATTGTACACCCCTTGACGGTTAGGGACTAATGTAAATATACAATATATATATGTAAAGCGCTGAGAAAATTGACTGCGCTGTTAGGAGCCTGACGTGAAGAGGCTGGCAGACCTGGTAACAGGGACAGATCCGTGCTGGATGGATGGATAGTCTGGGTAACGTAAGGCGTAGTCAGGCAGGCCAGGTCAGCAACATGCGGGCAGCGAGGTACTGGAGGAGCAGGCAGAGAATGGTCAGGGTCACAAGCCGAGTTCAGTAACTCACGGGCAGCGCGGTACAGAGGATCAGGCAGAAGGATGGTCAGGCAAGCCAGGGGTTAAACAGGAGATGGTCAGCAGGGCCAGGAACAATGCAGAGGTCGGCAACAGAAGATTCACAGGATACCAGGTACAGGGGCTCATGGGAAACAAACACCAAGGCACTGATTGCAGGCCTGGTCCTGCTTAAATAGACCTCCTGCAATCAGCCTCAGGTGATGGCTTGATTGCAGGAGTGAGACCCTGGCTGCTGAAAGCACCCTCTGGTAGGAGCTGGTACTGCAGCCCACAGAGCAAGTGAGCCACAGCACCACCAGTGCTGAGTCCATTCCTGACAGTACCCCCCCCCCCCCTCAAGGAGCGGCCTCAGGACGCTCCAAACAGTCCTTAATAAAAAAAATGTTCCACCACCTGGGTCAGGTAACTGGCTGGATATAACCACTGCCGGAGTCAAGCGACTGGCTGGACACGGATTTCCAGAAGCAGGCTGGGCATCAGGAGCTGGCACGTCAGGCTGGGCAGCAGACAGAGGCACATCAGCCTGGGCAGTGGGCACTGGGTCGTCAGGCTGGGCAGCGGGCACCGGGTCGTCTGGCTGGATAACGGGCATCAGGTCATCAGGCTGCGTAGGATCATCAGGCTGGGTAGCGTACACTGGGTCATCAGGCCATCAGGCTGGACAGCGGACACCGAGGCATCAGGCTCGACAGCGGGCACGGGGTCATCTGGCAGGACAGCGGGCACGGGGTCATCTGGCAGGACAGTGGGCACGGGTGGCAGGATAGTGGGCACCGGGTCATCAAGCTCGACAGCGGGCACCGAGTCACCTGGCACGACAGCGGGCACCGAGTCACCTGGCTCGACAGCGGGCACCGGGGCGCCAGGCTGGACCGCGGACACTGGGTCATCTGGCTGGATTGGGTCATCTGGCTGGATCGGGTCATCTCTCTGGATCAGGTCATCTGGCTGGATCGGGTCATCAGACGACAGGCTGACCGATTTGGATACTGGCAGGATGGTACTGATTGGAAAGAATTTTCGCTTCTTCTTGGTTTTAGTTACTGAAGTATTGCGAGCAAATGCAGGTCTGTAAACGGAGGGAGCAGCTGGAGACAGAGAAGAGCTGAAGGATGGAACAGAGGAGGGAATAGTTGCTACAGAGGGCTTTTTTACAGGGTTAAAGGCATGATAGATGCAGCGAGTGGGAACACGGTTCTGACATGTGGTTGCTAGCAGGGTATATTGGGCTGTAACTGGGGGTGCTGTCGGGAATGCAGGAATAGAGCTTTGAAAAAATGGATTAGAGGCCGGCCTGGGTTTTTGCAAGCTGACTGAGGCTGGGTGTAACAAATCTGACCATGTCTGTCATACTGGTTGAACAAAGCTTAGCTTACACTTAGCCTGTCTGACCAAAGACTGTACTGCATTTATACAATCCACAAGCATATGTGAAGGACAAGCTGAATAATGCTCAAAGAAGCAATCTGGATCATTCTCCAACAACCATACCAGTGACTCTATTTGATCTGCACTAAATGGTGGCAAAAAGTCATCCCTGCTTTCAGGGGTACTGGATGAAGCCAACTCAGCACAAGCCTGGATCAATGGTTGCACCTCAGAAAACTCCGTGCCCTGATCTACTAGTGAATGAACGACCCGTATGCACTCTAGCAGCTGATCCCTGGCATACTTCTTCAGAATCTGATAGGCATATTCTCTGTCATCTAAGACTAGCAGATACAAGTACACAACTTCCTCCGGATGCATCCTTCACCACAACAAGCCAAGATGGCTTCCCTGTGCAGCCACTTCTGGTCAGGATTGGTCTTGGTGTTCTGTTAGGGATCCGGGTATGACCAGAAATGTGTGGGAACACAGGTGTAGTCAGGGCTGGAGAGGTGGAATGGTCAGGCACGCCAATTGGTACTGTTAAGCACCGCCTGGCGCCGTCTCTAGCAGCCCACAGCACGGGGTTCCTCAGGGCGCGGGGTCTAAGTCCCAATCTGCTTATTCACCAGGGCCCCTGATGGTGGGGATGGACTTGGAGCAGACTGAGACTAGGTCGCGACCCCTGAGTACGTCTGGCAGTGGTAGAGAGCGTCGTCAGAGGTGTGCGGGGAAAGGAGACTGACGTGAAGAGGCTGGCAGACCTGGTAACAGGGACAGATCCGTGCGGGATGGATGGATGGATAGTCTGGATAACGTAAGGCGTAGTCAGGCAGACCAGGTCAGCAACGTGCGGGCAGCGAGGTACCAGAGGAGCAGGCAGAGAATTGTCAGGGTCACAAGCCAGGTTCAGTAACTCACGGGCAGCGCGGTACAGAGGATCAGGCAGAAGGATGGTCAGGCAAGCCAGGGGTTAAACAGGAGACGGTCAGCAGGGTCAGGAACAATGCAGAGGTCGGCAACAAAAGATTCACAGGATACCAGGTACAGGGGCTCATGGGAAACAAACACCAAGGCACTGATTGCAGGCCTGGTCCTGCTTAAATAGACGTCCTGCAATCAGCCTCAGGTGATGACTTGATTGCAGGAGTGAGACCCTGGCTGCTGAAAGCACCCTCTGGTAGGAGCTGGTACTGCAGCCCACAGAGCAAGTGAGCCACAGCACCACCAGTGGTGAGTCCATTCCTGACAGACGCTATATAAGTACCTGAAAAAAATAAAAATAAAATCCCCCCTACCCCAAACTTTACACTTGGCACAATGCAAACAGGCAAGTACCATATTAAATAATAAATAAACCAGCGCAAACATAGACCTCTACACACCGTCAATCAATAAATCAAGTGCAACATAATAAAAATTAATAAAATTAATAATTAATATTATTAAAAAAACAGAAAATCCACAAAACAGAGAAAATTATTTTTTTGTCCGTGAAATATACATATATATATCAAGTGAAAAAAATATATATATCAAGTGAAAAAATATATCAAGTGAAAAAAATATCAAGTGAAGAAACATTAATCAAGTGACTTTCTTCTTTCCCAAAGACTCTTCAAATACACCAAAAGAAACTTTCACCTTCCACCCGTGAGACCAACATTGAATACACTCACCAGATTTAGGTGAATGGGACACTTTTTAGGACTTAAAGGGATCCTAATACCCTCTTTGCTGTTCACTCTAGGGGGATCTTCAACTATACAAATAGGTTCCACCGTTCAACCAGGGAGAAAAAAAAACTTACATAGTGTAATATTGCCACTTAGAATCATCCTTCATAATATAGACTATTACCACTCACATTTTTCTCCTCTTTCAAAAAGCATGTTTATTAAAAGCCAACATCTTCCAGACCGATAGTGGATACTGTTAATGCCTCCTTAGAACTCTCACATCCCAGCTCAGGATACAGCAGCAGCTATGCAGACTAAGACTTTCCACAGATCCCAGAAAATGGCCGCTGGAACGCACCGCTCAGCGTGCGTTCCACTCACCGGAAGTGACATCAGACGTACGGGGTATAGACCGGAAATGCGTCAACGCGTTTCGCCCCTCCCTCAGGGCGTTCTCAAGACGTCCATCTCCTGTCCACAATCCCTTAAATACTCAAGAGGAGCCCACCCATCTCCCACCATTGGTCACAACTACCCCCCAAGGAGAAATAAATGCCGCTCCTCCCCCTATGCAACGTGAGAGTCCTTTACAATGGTGGCAATTGTTCACATACTTAAACTTAATTGTTAAAAACCTCAAACAATACCTCTACCCTAAAAATTACATATACACATATCATTTAATAATGCACATCAGAAAATTAAGAATTATAAATTTATTAATAATATTGACAAGTAATGAACAAATTAAAAATTAAATAAAAATAAAAAAATAATAAAAATAAATTAAATAAAAATAAAAAAAATAAATATAAAAATAAAATGAAAATAAAAATAAGTGAAAAAAATAAAAATAAAATAAAATTAATATAAAAATAAAATAAATGAGACAACCACCTAATGTATGTGTATATCTGTTCGCATCTTCTACCAATTCGACAAAAAACAATTAATATCTATATCTGAGTTCATATTGGCACAATGTACTGTTCTCCTGGCAGCTACCAAACCCAGACACGTCCATCAGTTTGCCAGACAGAGAAGCGTGATTTGTCCCACAAAGTTGGGAACATGAAATTGTACAAAATGTTTTGGTATGCTGACGCCTTAAGAGTTCCCATCACTGGAACTAAGGGGCTAAGACAAACCCTTGAAAAACAATCTCAAACAAACCATAATCCCCCCTCCACCAAACTTTACACTTGGTACAACATACTGTTCTCCTGGCAACTGCCAAACTCAGACACATCCATCTGATTGCCAGACAGAGAAGCATGATTCATCACTCCAGAGAACATGTCTCCACTGCTCTAGAGTCCAGTGGCGGCATGCTTTACGCCACTGCATCCGACGCTTTGCATTGCACTTGGTGATGTAAGGCTTGGATGCAGCTGCTCGGCCATGGAAACCCGTTCCATGAAGTTCTCTGTGTACTGTTGTTGTGCTAATCTGAAGGCCACATGAAATTTGGAGGTCTTTAGCTATTGACTCTGCAGACAGTTGGCGACTTCTACGTACTGTGTGCTTCAGCGTGTGCTGACCCCGCTTTGTCATTTGTCATATGTGGCCTACCACTTCGTGGCTAAGATGCTGTTGTTCCCAGTTGCTTCCCCTTTTTTACAAAACCACTAACAGTTGACCGTGGAATATTTAGTAGCAAGGAAATTTTATGTATGGACTTATTGCACAGGTTGCAACCTCTCACGGTACCACGCTTGAATTAGCGGAGCTTCTGAGAGCGACCCATTCTTTCACAAATGTTTGTAGAAGCAGTCTTCTAGCCTAGATGCTTGATTTCATACACCTGTGGCCATGGAGGTGATTAGAACACCTGAATCCAATTATTTGGAGAGGCGTCCTAATACAATATAGTGTTTGTAAATATATATATATATATATATATATATTTACACACACACACACCTCAAATAAATTAAGGGAACACTTTGAAAACACATTAGATCTCAATGGGGAAAAATATCATGCTGGATCTATACTGATATGGACTGGATAATGTGTTAGGAACGTAAGGATGCCCCATCATTTCAGATAGATAGATAGATAGATAGATATATATATATATATATATATATATATATATATATATATATATATATATATATTCTCAAACTTTTTTTTTCAATTAATGGAGGCTGTTATAGAAAAAAAAAAAGGTAAAACTACAGAGAAGGAAATAAGTATTTGATCAGTCTAAATATTGAATGGTAGGTGTATTATAACACTGAGAGACAGAATAGCAGCAAAAAATTCAAAAGAAATGCATGTCTAACAAATTATGCACTGATTTGCATGTTCATGAGGGAAATAAGTATTTGATCCCCTTCAAAAAACATGACTTAGTACTTGGTGGCAAATCCCTTGTTGGAAATCACAGAGGTCAGACGTTTGCTGTAGTTGGCCACCAGGTTTGCACACATCTCAGGAGGGATTTTGGCCCACTCCTCTTGGCAGATCCTCTCCAAGTCATTAAGGTTTGGTGGCTGACGTTTGGCAACTTGAAGTTTCAGCTTCCTCCACAGATTTTGAATCGGATTAAGGTCTTGAGACTGGCCAGGCCACTCCAGGACCTTAATGTGTTTCTTCTTGAGCCACTCCTTTGTTGCCTTGGCCATGTGTTTTGGGTCATTGTCATGCTGGAACACCTATCCATGACCCATTTTCAATGCCCTGGCTGATAGAAGAAGGTTCTCAACCAAGATTTGACTGTACATTGCCCCATCCATCGCACATCCTCACATGTTGTTCTGGGATGATTCCTCACTGTTCTCATGATCATTGACACTCCACGAGCTGAGATCTTGCATGGTGCACCAGACCTAGGGAGACTGACAGCTGTTTTGTGTTTCTTCCATTTGCGAATGATTGCACCAACTGTTGTCACCTTCTCACCAAGCTGCTTGGTGATAGTTTTTGTAGCCCAGACCAGCCTTGTGTAGATCTACAATCTTGTCCCTGACATCTTTGGACAGCTCTTTGGTCTTTGCCATGGTGGAGAGTTTAGAATCTGATTGTTAGATTGCTCCTATGGACAGGTGTCTTTTATACAGGTAACAAAATTAGATTAGCAGCACTCCCTTTAAGAGACTGATTCTAATCTCAGCTTGTTACCTGTATGAAAGACACCTGGTAGCCAGAAATCCTGCTGAATGATAGGAGACCAAATACTTATTTCCCTCATGAACATGCAAATTAGTGCATAATTTGTTAGACATGCATTTCTTTTGAATTTTTTGTTGCTATTCTGTCTCTAAATGTTACAATACACCTACCATTCAATTTTTAGACTGCTCATTTCTTTGTGAGTGGGAAAACATTCAAAATCAGCAGGGGATCAAATACTTATTTCCTTCACTGTATATTGTTTGCATGACTGTTTCTATAGTCTATAGGCAAGCTGTGCTGATACATAATAGGTTGTACGTCTAAAGCTGGCCATACACCTAACGAGTTTCAGAGGATTCTTGCTAAATTGGCCAAAATTCGTTTTATGGGTGGCCTTATTGGCACCACCCAGTTGGACAAAAAGATACATTTTGCACCCTTTAGATCCACTTTAACATAAATTCACTTCTCTGGAAGCATACCAAAGCAGTGCCAACATAAACAACAATGTAAACCACAGATGAGTTAGTTACTCTAGTTTCTGAACTTTGACAGTTTGTTGAGCCTCTCAGGAACTCTGGTGGTGTGATCTTTTTTTTCTTCATATGTGCTCCAGGTATAAGAAATCTAATGCTTTCCTTCATCCAGGTTAAGCAATGTGGATAGATTAATCTCTGTCCGCTGTTGTATACCCAAACAGTGCCTGCAACTAATTGCATTCAGGTGCTGTGTGGCTGTGAATTTTCTACTCCGTTCCTTTGAGAAAGTCAATTGAAAATTTAATTTTTTTTTTTTACTGTCATTGTCCCTTGCTGACAGTTTCTTCTGTGGGCCATCTTCATTGTCCTGCGCAGGAGCCAGCAATCCTGACACATAGGGCACTGTAAACTGAGCTGCGCATGTGCAGCTCAGTTTATATGCCAGGAAATGCTGTAAGCAGGCAGGTAGGTGTATTTTATTGCAGAAGAAACATTACATGCCAGCTCACAGTGAATGAAAGCAGAACTCTAGTTCCAGTTTAATGTGGAATTTTACTCAATAAATATTTGTGAAAAGGTAGGGTTATTAAAGCATAACACACATACTACTGTATGTCTCTTCTGCATTATTCTTACCTCCTTGTTTGCCACATGCAGCTCAGTGTACAATTTCATCATCTGCTAAGATGAATGAACTTCTGCTCATGCATGGGAGTGATGCCATCCTTGCCCAACAAATCAAAATCGTCAAAGATCAGAAGCCAGAAAAAGTCCACCCCAAGATATCAGCAGCCAGCGATGGTGCTTGTAGACATCACATCATTGGATGGGAGGTGAGTATAGTTTCACTTTAAGCACTTTACAAATTGTGGTATTAAAAGGAAGGAAGGAAGGAACTTAATATTAATTAATATAATTATGTTATTTAAAGCGGTATTAAACCCCAAAGCAAAAATTTAATAAATTTTATATATTATATTAAATTATATATATATATATGTATATAGAAAGAGAGATTATTATTATACAGGATTTATATAGCACCAACAGTTTGCTCAGCGCTTTAAAATATAACGGGAGACAATACAGTTCAATACAAGAGGGTTAGGAGCTTGGAGCTTACAATCTAAAGCGCTTTTTACATATATATTGTACATTCACATCAGTCCCTAACCCTCAAGGAGTGTACAATCTAAGGTCCCTAACTCACAATCATACATACACATAGGCCAATTTAGACCCACGCAGGCACAGGGAGAACATGCAAACACCAGGCAGGTGGTGCAGTGGTTGGGATTCAAACCATCAACCCTAATACTGCCAGTCAGAAATGCTAACCATTTAGCCACTGTGCAGTCCACCAATCATTAGATGTGATGGCTGCATTAGGTTTTTTGTTTTTTTTTCTCCTCTGTTTTAACCCGGTGATTTGGCCAGTAACACACCTCCTGTATTAGAGTGCCCCCACTCTGGATAGCGTAGTACAGGGCTGCTTTAGACAGCAGCATTTTTAATCTGGGGAGAGGGAAGTGTTAGATGTATTAGCAGATTTAGATACACTAACAAATTGAAGTTAAACTCCTTTTACTTGGGATAAAAGTTTTTCTTGAAAAAATAAAAGCTGACCATTGTAAGCACCCCTGTGAGGACCATCTTTAATACTGATTGGACCCCGGGCAAACATTTTTTTGGGCCCCCCTAGCAGCCACCCCCCCCCCCCCCCCCACACACACACACACACACACACGTTCCCCACTCTGAGACATACATAAGTAGCAGCTAGACTCAAAATCTGTTCACTACAGCAGATCAGGCAGGGTTGCCAGCGGTTACAGCATTACATTACTGCACACTGACTGATTCCTAGAGGTTACAGCACACATTACGGCTCACTGCTAAAGCTTACAACACATCATTTCTCCAAATATAAAATTACAACACATCATTTCTGCTTACTGATTGGTTGTTAGAGGTTACTACACATTATTACTGCTCACTGATTAATTGCTAGAGGGTACTGCACATCCTTACTGCTCACTGGTTGCTACAGGATACTGCACATCATTACTGCAAACTGATTGGTTACTGCACATTATTATTGCTCACTGGTTGCTAGAGATTACAACAGATCATTACTGTTCACTAATTGGTTGCAAGAGGTTACTGCACATCATTACAGCTCATTGATTGTGTGCTGTAACCTCTAGCAACCAATCTCCTCCCTTTCTGCACACCACAGACTGCGGAGGGGACAAGACCCACCAACAGACAGAAAATTCTAGATCTTGTTATTAGCAATGAGCATAGCAGAGAACACACAACTATGATGGTTGACTGAGTGCAGGTAGGAACAGAGCCTAATGTGAGCAGCATCTCCGAGGATTGGCTGCCGGGGTACATAAAGAGTGCAGGGTCAAAGGGGGCACTATGTGCAGACTGCAGGGTTGAGGGGTGCACTTTGTATGAAGTGCAAGGTTGAGGGGTGCGCTGTGTACGGAGTTCAGGGTTGCACTGTGTATGCAGTGCAGGATTGAGGGGTGTGTACTATGTATGCAGTGCAGGGTTGAGGGGTGCACTATGTACAAAGTGCAGGGTTGAGGGGTGTGCTATGTACAGAGTGCAGGGTTGAGGGGTGTACTATGTACGGAGTGCAAGGTTAAGGGGTGCACTGTGTACGGAGTGCAGGGTTGAGGGGTGTGCTGCAAATGGATTGCAGGATTGAAGGGTGCGCTATGTACGGAGTGCAGGATTGAGGGGTGAACTGTGTACGGCGTTCAGAATTACACTGTGTATGGAGTGCAGGGTTGAGAGATGCACTGTGTACAGGGTTCAGGGTTACTCAATGTATGAAGTGCAGGGTTGAGGGGTGCACTGTGTACGGAGTTCAGGGTTGCACTGTGTATGGAGTGCAG